GAACAGGACGATAATAAACTGTGTACTATTAGGGTCACAAGTGACATGGTCCTTAGGCAAATAGATAAATTAAAACCTAACAAATCCCCAGGCCCTGATGAACTGTATGCAAGGGTTCTAAAGGAATGTAAAGAGGAGCTTAGCACACCTTTGGCTAATCTTTTCAACATATCACTACAAACTGGCATGGTGCCAGATAAGTGGAAAATGCAAATGTGATACCTATTTTCAAAACAGGTGACAGGTCCTTAGCTTCGAACTATAGACCAATAAGCCTAACCTCCATAGTGGGAAAATTTATGGAATCAATAATTGCCGAGGCAGTTCGTAGCCACCTTGAAAAGCATAAATTAATCAACGAATCTCAGCATGGTTTTACAAAGGGGCGTTCCTGCCTTACGAATTTATTAACTTTTTTCACTAAGGTATTTGAGGAGGTAGATCTTGGTAATGAATATGATATTGTGTATATGGACTTCAGTAAGGCTTTTGACAGGGTCCCACATCAGAGACTATTGAGGAAAATTAAAGCACATGGAATAGGAGGAGAAATTTTTTCCTGGATAGAGGCATGGTTGAAAAATAGGCAGCAGAGAGTTTGCATAAATGGGGAGAAATCAGAGTGGGGAAGTGTCACGAGCGGTGTTCCAGAGGGGTCAGTGTTGGGCCCCCTGCTTTCACAATCTACATAAACGACATAGATGAGGGCATAAAGAGCGACATCGGCAAGTTGCCGATGACACCAAAATAGGCCGTCGAATTCATTCTGACGAGGACATTCGAGCACTCCAGGAAGATTTGAATAGACTGATGCAGTGGTCGGAGAAGTGGCAGATGCAGTTTAATATAGACAAATGCAAAGTTCTAAATGTTGGACAGGACAATAACCATGCCACATATAAACTAAATAATGTAGATCTTAATATTACGGATTGCGAAAAAGATTTAGGAGTTCTGGTTAGCAGTAATATGAAACCAAGACAACAGTGCATAAGTGTTCGCAATAAAGCTAATAGAATCCTTGGCTTCATATCAAGAAGCATAAATAATAGGAGTCCTCAGGTTGTTCTTCAACTCTATACATCCTTGGTTAGGCCTCATTTAGATTATGCCTGCACAGTTTTGGTCACCTTATTACAGAATGGATATAAATTCTCTGGAAAATGTACAAAGGAGGATGACAAAGTTGATCCCATGTATCAGAAACCTTCCCTATGAGGATAGACTAAGGGCCCTGAATCTGCACTCTCTAGAAAGACGTAGAATTAGGGGGGATATGATTGAGGTGTATAAATGGAAGACAGGAATAAATAAAGGGGATGTAAATAGTGTGCTGAAAATATCTAGCCTAGACAGGACTCGCAGCAATGTTTTAAGTTGGAAAAATTCAGATTCAGGAAGGATATAGGAAAGTACTGGTTTGGTAATAGAGTTGTGGATGAGTGGAACAAACTCCCAAGTACCGTTATAGAGGCCAGAACGTTGTGTAGCTTTAAAAATAGGTTGGATAAATACATGAGTGGATGTGGGTGGGTGTGAGTTAGACCTGATAGCTTGTGCTACCAGGTCGGTTGCCGTGTTCCTCCCTTAAGTCAATGTGACCTGACCTGACTAGGTTGGGTGCATTGGCTTAAGCCGGTAGGAGACTTGGACCTGCCTCGCATGGGCCAGTAGGCCTTCTGCAGTGTTCCTTCGTTCTTATGTTCTTATGTTCTTCTTATTACTGGGCGAAGGTTCGAAGAGCAATTGGCATGTGCGGGTGCTGTTCTCTTGGCTCAAGTTTATATAGATCATTCCCGAAATTGATTTACACGAGATCGGCTTCATTATATCAGGTATCTCCGGGTGATTAACTTATTGGTTGTAGAGTCAAATGTATACACAGGTGTTACATCAGTAAGCCACATCAATGCCCACCCCATGACAAATCTTTTACTTAATTGTTGGTCATGATATGAGAAGTAGTAATTAGAGCATCAAGGTAAGGACAATTACTTTCTCTTTTCGATTGTATTCGAGTTTATTGGAAGATTAAAAATTATTTATCTAAGGTCTGAAAATGTTGTCGTTTTGGACAAATTGTAAAATCGTCTTCTACATATCACACCCATATATGATCACGAAGTAAAATCTGTGTTAATAATTCATTTTCAAAGCATCCTATAAAGAAAATTGCCCAGTGGGACATCCACATTGATCAGTACACTCGGTGTATTGTGGGATTGGTATACGAGAGATGATTACAGTTTGGCATTAAAGCTGGTCTTCTTGAGGGTAAAGTGTGGATGTGTGTTCAGATGCGAGTCCTAATTTACCATTTATTATTAAAAATATTATTTTCCATGTGATTACCTCTGACTGCCCCTTTCCTTTCATTGAAAATCTTACACGTTAATATTTAACTGCATTACAAACTTGTGCCACAACACTGCCATTCACGTGCATTGAAGTATAGAGGACTGGTGGTTATGCAGTACCGGGATGCCTCTCTCAGGTCGTGCAGCGACTGAAATTCATGTAGTTTTTCATACTTTTCCGAGTAAGTTAGTTGATTTTTCAAACCCAGTCTTAAGGCACTGGATCCTTGCCGTATGGCAACACCATCCATATAGATTTGAAGACTTCAGGTTTATATATATATATATATATATATAGATTATATATATAATTATATATATATATATATATAATTATATATATATATAATATATATATATATATATATATATATATATATATATATATATATATATATATATTTAACAACAGTTTATCAGCCCTCTCACTGGTATAATATGAATAAGTATTATGCATTTACTACGTGCTTATAAAACTCACTCCCACGGGCACACTATTTAATCCCATGGCCATACAATTCATTCCCACATCAAACAACTCCATGATTCAACGTTTTATGTATTAATTTAATTGCTGGGTGGCCACAAGTCAAGCACGTGCGTTCGAACAGGTTCAACAAGTTTTTTTATACTGGAAAACAACTGCTACGGCAGCAGTTGGTGGAGAGAGTGGTAACCTACTCCAGCCGGAGCCTGGTTATTAAGAGACATCCTCTCTTATTACCTTACTACCACAACGTACATCAAGTGAACAGTGGGTGTTACACCACTGCCAGAACGCATTTAGTCCTGACTACACTCTTGATTCATTGGTTCTCAGGCTTGAAGGGAATGCGGATCTACACTAGCTTACTTAACTCGACTGGCCTCCAAGCTATTTTTTTTTCTTTCATAGTTAAATAATATAGATGACTTGAATGTTTCGGGGTTCGACGTCCCCACGGCCCGGTCCCAGATCATGCCTCCCTGATCAGCGAGGTTATTTCTCGCTGTAAGCAATCGAACGTACCACAATCCTGCTGATTAGAAACTTGCCTCAGGAACTTATTTAGTTCCATCTTGAAGACAATAAGGGTGACATTGGCTCACATTTCTCTGCGTCAGTGTTTCTTTATATTTGTATTGGAAGGAAGCACGGATGCGAGAGTAGCGTGTCTCATGATTAATGGACGAAGGATCAAGCCTCCACCTCTTCTCTCTGTTCTCACTCCAATTCATTTGTATTGCAGAATTAAAATTCACTGTGAATTTTTCTCTTGGAATCTGAATAGGCTTATAGCCTATTGCATATATGATCTGGTTAGTCTTCTTACTAATGGTGTCTACAAAGAACTCCTTGGATTGCATGCAGCCAGCAGTAACAGCCTGGTTGATCAGACCTTGTTCCACCATGAGGCCTGGTCACAGACCGGGCCGCGGGGGCGTTGACCCCCGGAACTCTCTCCAGGTAAACTCCAGGTTTGTAGATGAATGGTTCAGAGAACCGACACGTTGATAAATTAGACACACATGCATCTCTTGGGTATTTTTATTGAGGAAACGTTTCGCCACACAGTGGCTTCATCAGTCCATACCAAGGAGAATCGTGAAGAACAGGAGAAGAATGATGTAATCAGTCCCTCAACCTTGAGTCGATGTGGTCAGTCCATCCATCTTGAATAGAATACAGCATATGTGCCGTCCATCAATCTTGAATAGAAATAGAAATCGGCACATATGCTGTATTCTATTCAAGATTGATGGACTGACCACATCGACTCAAGGTTGAGGGACTGATTACCTCATTCTTCTCCTGTTCTTCACGATTCTCCTTGGTATGGACTGATGAAGCCACTGTGTGGCGAAACGTTTCCTCAATAAAAATACCCAAGAGATGCATATGTGTCTAATTTATCAACGTGTCGGTTCTCTGAACCATTCATCTACAAACCTGGAGTTTACCTGGAGAGAGTTCCGGGGGTCAACGCCCCCGCGGCCCGGTCTGTGACCAGGCCTCATGGTGGAACAAGGTCTGATCAACCAGGCTGTTACTGCTGGCTGCATGCAATCCAACGTACGAGCCACAGCCCGGCTGATCAGGTACCGACTTTAGGTGACTGCCCAGTGCCTGCTTGAAGATAGCCAGGGGTCTATTGGTAATTCCCCTTATGTAGTGTCATCAGAGATTTTAGTTACTACTGCCTTGGTGATGTGTGTCTTCTAAGAAAGATGGACTGTTAAGTAAAGGCCTCTCCAGCCATACTGTGGACCTGCACCACACAGTGACCAAAGCATGTCTCACCTGTGTTGTGATACTATGCACTTTCTCTTGTCACTGTGGTTTTCCCAGCTTTCTTCTATTTTCACAGATTTTGCTCGTTCTTACTGCCTTTCCCTCTCACTTTTTCAGTTTCCTAAATAACACATGTGGCACTGTATGACAAACTTTCTTCTCGTTGAAGAATGTACACTGTCCATCCCCTGCTTTCAGTATAGCCTATTAATCTTTCTTTAAAGTTTGTGGGGCACAACCTTCCACTCGTAAACATGTTACTTGTATTACATTTCGCTGTTTGAAATTTTGTAGGCGTTCCTAGGGACGTCCACTTGAACCCTTTTTTTTTTTTATTTTTTTTTATTTTTTAACTGTTTTTCTTTACACAGGTACACCTACATGTCCATTTGGATGGAGCAATCAGACACGAGACCCTCTGGGAGGTTATGAGGTAAGGCTTGGGGAGGGGGTCGTGAGGTATAATCTCCAGTTTCCTTAGTACAGCACCAAGATGGTTCTAAAATGTAGAGCTTGACAGTCAATCGAGTATCTGGCAGGCAGTATGAAGTATGATCTGGCGTATTAGATATTGATGTCATTATTCCTTCCAGCTAGTGCTTTTGGAGGTTCGCGTCTTCCGCATAGATGATTCGCAACTGTACTGTTGCACCTACTCAAAGGTATTTTTACCGTTTACAGATTCGTATGTTTTAATTCTCTACTTGACAAGGTGGTGGATTGCAGGGTCTTTTTTTTTTATTAGATCCACGTCTTGCCCACATTCATCGCTTTAACCTGAAAGGAAATAGAACTGGACAAACACACTTTCTGGAACATTAACAATGATGTCTGGAAAATAAATGACAATAGGTGTGGGTATATTAGTTAAGAAATAAATAAAGTGTATGACCAAGTATTCTGCCCTGGAAGAAGGCATGGGGATACTGCTGACTAAGTTTTAGATGACGTAGGCAGTTCAGTTACGCAGATTTTTTCGATGTATATAAGCGGCTTACCTTTGATCAGCCAATGTCTGTCAGCTTTTGAAAGCTCGACTACATTTTTAATAACAAATTTAACTTAAAATCGATGCACACTCATAAAAAAAGTAAAGCAGGTTTCATTTTTTTCCTATTTCGAATCCCATGCAGGTTTAAGGTAGGTTGCCTCCGTATCTGTGATAGTCTGTTGAGGAGAGTTCTCTTGAACTTTGCACATGTAGGAAATTCGTGAGATGGGCCATAACTTTCGTGAGCTTTGATTTTAAATTGGATATTATAGTACAAGAGTTAAGAGTTTAGTAATCTGGTAAAGCATTGTCGTAGACTTTGACAAGCTGTTAAAGATCTACTGTGAAAATCAGCAATGAACCGCATTGTGCTGCTTCTGGATGATCCGTCAGTGTATCACTGAGCATTTATGGTATGCCAGTCAAACTTACCATTCTTATTACAGGCATTTAACATTATGACGTTCCTGACGATACAAGTATTAGTCAGGTTGTGCTAGGTTCTGCCTAATGGAGAAGTTAGTATATTGCTCAAGTAGGATACAAACACATGATTAACGGCATGTAACTAGCCAGCTGGAAGGATACTAGGGTTGGAGACCCTTAATCTTTTTTCCCACACTTGTACTGTTCATGTTGTGTATTTAATGATACGCCAGAGTTTCTCTGTTGCCTCTCCAGATGATTCTCAGATTGTCCAAACTCGTGATTTGTTTGAACCCTATTTTAGAGTCATCTGTGTCAAGTACTGCTTTGCTGTATACAAGACTTAATCATGAGTAGTCTTTTACTGGTTGAAGGTAACCTGTTTTCATTAAAGTGCCAGATATAACATAAGAACTTTGGAATGTAGACACTGCATTTAGAGATATGAGAAGTTTCGTCCGCTGGGGAGGCTTTTCTCATTCTAAGCGATTAATAAAATTCCCAAATGCGAAACATCTAATTAATGTCCACAGTATTGCTTATGTGTCTTTATTCCAAAAGTTGTTTTACACCCTCTTTTATGTCAGTAATGAGTCGCCCCAGTAAGACAGTCCTCATTAATTGCGTTAACGGTCACCGGTGTAAATACCTCGTATCACCTTTGAAGCAGTTGTGGAAAATTGCATTTAGCTGAATGTATAATTATTTACATAACAGTAAATGAACAATGATAACTATTATTTATCAGTTAGACAAGTAGGAATTTGGGACACGTAGGTCGCAAAAAAATGTCCCCCTTCGATACCTACCACTGTCATATCCACAAGTTGCTCTGGACCTATTAATTAAATGAAATATACATACACCAGGAATACTGGTAAATATATAAATTTGTGGACTGTATATTAAAAAATGATTATATATAAATTCACATATACATAACAGAAGGAAAATATATGTTAATATCACTCACTAATTTGACTGGATATTAAGTTGTATCATACTGAGAAAAACCTCACTAACTAAATTTATGAAAACACTGGCCAGATTTATACACAAATCTAGAGAGCTTATCAGAGGTTCATGGAGCTGTCTTGTCCAGTCGTCTGATATATCAAGTTATGCAGGAATGCACATCCAACAATTTCGCCTCCTATTTGAGAGGTGTCAATCCAATTTTAGCCTCTAGAGCACGAAAAATTCTTCCCATTATATTAACGTTGTATCCAATTCAAAACCAAGATGGCGAGTCTCGTCTGCGCAGACGCAGGCTTTCCGTTTTCTATGACATAAATATTATTAAATACAGTATGGCCATCTATTTACATATAAATACTGAATTTCTGGAAAATGTATACAGTATTTTCCACAGCAATTATACTAATGTTCGAACTGCTATACGGAACACTGGAAAAAAAATGAATATACTCTCCTGTCTGTCCCAACTACTGCATCACTACGACAAGGTCCTAGATGCACTAGAAGACAAAAAGAATGCAGATGTAATATATACAGACTTTGCAAAAGCTTTCGACAAGTGTGACCATGGCGTAATAGCGCACAAAATGTGTGCTAAATGAATAACAAGAAAATTTGGTCGATGGATCTATAATTTCTTCACAAACAGAACTCAAAGAGTAGTAGTCAACAGAGTAAAGTCTGAGGCGGCTACGGTGAAAAGCTCTGTTCCACAAGGCACAGTGCTCGCTCCCATCCTGTTTCTCATCCTCATATCTGACATAGACAAGGATGTCAGCACAGCACCGTGTCTTCCTTTGCAGATGACACCCGAATCTGCATGACAGTGTCTTCCATTGCAGACACTGCAAGGCTCCAGGCTGACATCAGCCAAATCTTTCAATGGGCTGCAGAAAATAATATGAAGATGAGAAATTTCAATTACTCCGATATGGTAAACATGAGGAAATTAAAACTTCATCAGAGTACAAAACAAATTCCTTCCACAAAATAGAGCGAAAAACCAATGTCAAAGACCTGGGAGTGATCATGTCAGAGGATCTCACCTTCAAGGACCATAACATTGTATCAATCGCATCTGCTAGAAAAATGACAGGATGGATAATGAGAACCTTCAAAACTAGGGATGCCAAGCCCATGATGACACTTCAGGTCGCTTGTTCTATCTAGGCTGGAATATTGCTGACCTAGAAAATGCACAGAGAACCTTCACTGTGCGCATAACGGAGATAAAACACCTCAGTTACTGGGAGCACTTGAAGTTCCTGAATCTGTACTCCCTGGAATGCAGACAGGAGAGATACATGATTATATACACCTGGAAAGTCCTAGAGGGACTAGTAACGAACTTGCACACGAAAATCACTCACAGCGAAAGCAAAAGACTTGGCAGACGATGCAACATCCCCCCAATGAAAAGCAGGGGTGTCACTAGCACGTTAAGAGACAATACAATAAGTGTCAGGGGCCCGAGACTGTTCAACTGCCTCCCAGCATACATAAGGGGAATTACCAGTAGACCCCTGGCTGTCTTCAAGGAGGCACTGGACAAGCACCTAAAGTCAGTACCTGACCAGCCGGGCTGTGGCTCGTACGTTGGATTGTATGCAGCCAGCAGTAACAGCCTGGTTGATAAGGCTCTGATTCCCCATGAGGCCTGGTCACAGACCGGGCCGCGGGGGCGTTGACCCTCGGAACTCTCCAGGTAAACTCCTGGTACTCCAGGCTCTTCATAGCCCGATGGAAAGCATTTGATACAGAGGACCACAATCTTTTGCATCTTAAACTAGAACATTATGGGGTCAAAGGACATTCCGTAGAATACCTAAAATCTTATCTTAACAGTAGACATCAGTATGTCTACACAAATGGCGTTATCTCGGTTACTCAGCCTATAGCTGTTGGAGTGTCACAGGGTAGTATCCTTGGCCCACTACTTTTTCTCATTTACATCAGTGACCTCCCCAATGCATCTTCACGCCTTAAACCAGTTCTATTCATAAATGACATTACGTACTTATATCTTCTCTCACTCAAACCCAACTGTGCTGAGAGACAATTAACGACGAGCTACTAAACGTATCTATGTGAGTGGCGACCAACAAACTCACTCTCAATATGGACAAAACCTACTGCATGCTGTTTGGAAACAGAGCTGTGGAAAATTGCATTTATCTGAATGTATCATTATGTACATAACAATAAATGAACATAGATAATTATTATTTATCATTTAGACAAGTAGGAATTTGGGACACCTAGGTCGCAAAAATGTCCCCCTTCGATACCTACCACTGTCATATCCACAAGTTGCTCTGGACCTATTAATTACCAATGAAATATGTATAACCAGGAATACTGGTAAACATATAAATTTTGTGGACTGTATATTAAAAATAATAAATGGTTATATATATACACAACTACATAACAGAAGGAAAATATATCTTAATATCACTCACCAATTTGACTGGAGATTAATGTGTCATGTACAGGACCCCCCCTTTTGCCTACATTTATGAAAAATTTACTGGCCAGAAATTAAACATAATTTAGACAGCTTATCTGAGGTTCCTAGAGTTGTCCTGTCCTGTCGCCTGATACTCATATTATGCAGGAATGCACATCCAACAATTTTGCCTCCTATTTGAGAGGTGTCAGCCCAATTTTAACCTCTAGAACACGAAAAATTCTTCCCATTATTCACAACGTGTTATTCAATTCAAACAAAATGGCGACTCTCCTTCTGCGCAGGTGCAGAAAATTCCCATTTTCTATGACATAAATTTTATTAAATACAGTATGGCCATCTATTTATATATAACTACTGTATTTCTGGAAAATATATACAGTATTTTCCACAAGAGCTTTAAATATCCAACTTTACATATTGATTAATGGTTCCCCCATTACAAGACACACTGAGGGCAAATTTTTAGGTCTTCACCTTGACTGCAACCTTAAATTTCAGATTTACATCCAATATATTCCAAGAAAGTATCTAAAACAGTAGGCATCCTTTCCAAGATAGTGTTACATACCCCAAACAGGACTGCTTACACTATACCACTCTCTAATCTATCCATACCTCAACTGTGGTATTTGTGTTTGGGGATCAGTCATGACCAATCTCCTTAAACCATTAATAACCTAACAAGAAGCTGCTGTGCGGATGATTACCAACTACTGCACCAGGGAACAGGGGACACCCCACCGCTCTTTAAAAGCTTGAACTTACTTACTTATCCAAAATATGCAAAATATGCC